TTTCTCCCCCCCCCCAAAACGAAAAAAGGGGGGGGGGGGGGGGGGGGGGGGGGAGGAAGAAGACTGAACATGATATAAAAAAATTCCCCATTCACGCTTAAACTCTTATCTCATTACAAAAGCATATAAATCAAATTCCGGACCAATAATAGGATCTTCTCCGGATTTATTTTCAATGAAACATGCATCACTCGTGCACATTATACCCAAAAACTAGTAAAGTAAAACCAAAAACAAGATGGCTAAGCAGTATTCTTTAGAACCATCGCTAAAACCCTAACAACCACTCCTGAAATTAACTGCACGATATGAATCTGAAAACAGTACAAAGTAAGGAAAAAATACCTCTCGGCTCGAGTATTGCGCTTCTCTTGCTCAGAAAGCTGGACAGGCATTCCGAAGCGCTCAGCTCGCTTCAACTTCTTCTGAATATCAGTTACAGCTCCTTCCGTGCTGCTGTCTGTATTCTTCGCTGCCGCTCCTGTCTTCGGGTTTTCCTCCCTCGGATTATCGCCTCCGCCGCCACCATGAGTTGGTGACGCGATGGGGGCGGCGGAACAGTGGGGATCTTCAGTTGTGCTAGGCGTTGAATTGGGAGCAGCGGTTTGAGTTACGGCGTTTTTCGGGTTTTCGACTTTTGGTACGGTGGCCGTCGCCATTGTTTTTCGGACCTTTCGCCGTGGGGCTGGGGGCTGGTGTTTATCACAGAGAGAGAGAGAGAGAGAGAGAGAGAGAGAGAGAGAGGATGCTTGAATTTTACGCAGCTGGTAAGCCAACGAATTGCAGTAGGGATTTTAAGGCACAACGTTATTTTAGGGCCCAATTCATTGTAAAGACAAAACTTGAATGGAAAAAAAAAAAAATGAATTCTACCAAATTGAATTGTTTAGAAATAATTTTATTGAGAATTGTCAATTATTATTTTTGATTGATATAAATTTTTACGTGAAAATATTAAAATAAAAGTATTTTTTGATATTCGTTTAGCTTTGTTTTACATAAAAATTGTTAATTAAATATATAAAATTTGCTCGATAAGAAAGGCAAAACATGATCTCAACGGGCGCTGGGGATGCGGCTTCGAGAAATGTGGTTTCGGGACAGTTCAGAGAAAAATTTTATTGGTATGGAGAATAAAATTTGTTTTCATTGCCAAAAATAATAATAATAATAATAATAATAATAATAATAATAATAATAATAATAATAATAATAATAATAATAATAATAATAATTAGGGAAAATTGCAGCCGAAGTATCAAACCTTTCGTTTATTAATAGACTTTGCCCAAACTTTCATTTTGTGCCAACGAAGGTCCCAAACCTTTCATAAATATGCAGTCGAAGTCCAAATGGATGGAAACCGTCCATTTGACCGTTAATTGACCACGAAAAGTAAATGTTAACCTATTTTGACTAAATTGGAAAGGAAAAAATGGTAACTTGATAATTACTATATTAAATAAATTGAAAAAAATAAAAAAATAAAGAAAAAATCAAAAAATAAAAAATAAAAAATCTAAGAAAAAAAATTAAAAAAATGGGTTGTCTTCTTCAATCACCCCACCCCATCCGAAACCATCGTCCCGAAAATGAACCTGTTATCAATTCTCCTAGCAATTTTTTTGTGCTACTTTGCAGATCTTGGATCAAACTCCAGCTTCTCTTAAAAAGGTTAGCTGGAATGAGGTCATTCAAATGGGTGAACAAATCTCCAAACAAGCCACTACGGGTCTCTCCCTCTTTCTCTCTTCGTCTCTGTACGGTTAATTCAAGTTCAATTTCTTGCTTGTGACTTCCTATTAACATATGTGTTCGTTTATTGGTTTTGATTGATGGGTTTTTCTTAAATTCGTTTTTTCGTCCAAGAATTTTGTGATAGTTTATGAAATGCTTTGCAATTCCTATTTGTTCAAGTTTTTCTTTGGTTATCATTATTGTGTTTGATTTCTTTTGGGTGGGATGGAGGTGGAGGTGGAAGCGAGATTGGAGGTGTGGTGTTGAGTTGGAAAAAGAAGGTTGGAGTGGGGGATGGTGGCCTGTTGCAATTTAGATTGTTGGTGGGGGGAAGGGCGGTTGGGAGAAGATGATGCCCACATTTTCTTTCTTTCATTTTTTATTTATTTATATTGTATCTATTTAACTTATTTAATTAATGGAATAATATGCAAGTTACTATTTTACCCTTACTAATATGGTCAAAATTGGAGTCAAAGTCAGTTCTTTGGTCAACTAATGGTGAAATGGATGGATTCCATCCATTTGGATTTCGGCTGCATATATATGAAAGGTTTGGGATCTTCGCTGGTACAAAATGAAGATTTGGGCAAATTTTGCTAATAAACGAAAGGTTTGGTACCGCTGTTGCAATTTTCCCTAATAATAATTCAAGAAAATCATATATCTTTTGGCGTTCGTTTGACTTTGTTTTATATGAAAATTGTCAATTAAAAGAATTTTAAAAAAATAATTAGAGACAGAGTTTGTTTTCGTTGCAAAAAAAAAAAAAAATAATAAATCAGCCAGCAACCTAAAATCAAAAATGAATTCATTTTCATCAATTTGCTGGAAAAATGGCTTAGGTGACATCAAACTTGGAAAATGAATTTTCTAGAAAAAAACTATCAAACGTCATTTTTAGTTTAGGGTGGAAATCAAATTCCATTTTCCATAGAATTCATGACTATCAAACATGGTCTTAGTGCCACTTTAAAATGTTCTAAATAGTTGAAAAGGGAAAATTTCAGAAAAGGTCCTCATATTTGATAAGTGTTTCACCTTGGTCAATGTTATAAATGGAGTTTATTCGTCCTCACTTTCATTTTAGTAGTACTTAGGTGGATATTGGACAATTTTACCCTTATCAGTTTAATAAGTTAAAATTTTGGGTAATTGAATTCGCACTATAGTTTTTATTTTTTACATCACATTTAAATTACACTTAAGTTCCTCAACTTTGCATCATATTTTTTTTTTCAACCTTTCATTAATTAAACTATTTTATTTTTTATGATAGTGGCGTTGAATTTCTTGACCCTTTAACTTAGGATTAGTCAATTCTATTTCTCGATGGGAGTAGAAAAGGGATATATCTTAGTGGCAGAGTGTTACCTTAACGCGGTGAAAGTCATCATTTCGAGCAAGATTAACTCGTTTCTGTCAAAATATTCCTTTTATATGTTTGAAATAAGAAAAAAATAATTGCACTTTATACCTGCCAAATAAGTTGTTTTATACCATCTCAAAGGAATTTTTGGACTAAACTTTATTGGAGACAAGATTAGCTAATTAAGGAAATATTGATTATAAGAATATGTCAAAATTTGGATGATTTGTTTTACAATTAACAGAGATTGAGAATCTTAAGTTCGATGAAAATGTGATGCAAATAAAATGTATCGTGTAAATATAATTACTCGTATTACTATTGATGGTTTAAGCCTTATCTCAACGAATTTTAAATGCAAAAAGAAGAATCATAAAAAGAAAAGCAAGTAAAAAAATTCTCGTTCTCCTCGAATCTATTTCAAATTGATTGGCTAACTGGTGATAGTTGTGGTTGTTTAGATTTGGAAAAAAGGTAAGTCAAGTTGGGTTAGAATGGAGAAGATGAAGACTTCCACTTTCTATTTTTATCAATCTAGTTTTTCATTCATATTGTTGTTTATCGAAAAAAGAACGGTAATGCTATCTTTTAAACAAAAAATAAAATAAAATAAAATAAATTAGCTCATTATTTAAAGATAGTAGTAAAATTGTCCAACGGGGACCTAATTTACTACTATGAAAGATTGGAGATGCAAATGTTATATTTTAAAGATTGTGAACTGAGATGGTCAAAGTTTGGGGATCTCTGCTGCTATTTTTCGTGAAAACTTGTTAACTCTCAGGAATAAATACTTTGAGATTGTTAGTATTTTATTTATTTATTTATTACTCTTTCTGTTCTTAATTTGCAATTACGCAATCAAACTATACATAAATAATTTACTTGCTCATATGTTTTGACCAGTGGTATATTGAAATATTTGAACTCATTTTATGGAAATGAAACGAAATAATTGAGAATCCAAAGCACGTGATTTGAGCAATTGAGTTGATTATATCGTCTTACTTTATAGATCTTCAATTCTCTATCATTTGAAGACAAGCGAATGGCGTAGCTCAGATTTCAATGAAACTAGGCTTGCCCCATTCCCTTCATAATGTATGGCTCAACGAACATTCTGAGTTTATTGTAAATACTATTAGAATTGAAGTTAAAAAGTAAAAAAGATGAGAACCGCCCATTCGGAATTAGACATCAACTTTGTTATAGAAAAAAAATAATAATAATAATAAAAATAAAAAGTTGGCGTTGCAAAGCTTTTGCTTGTTAAAGTTTGTTTTGTTTTTTTATTTTTTTGGATTTTAAGCTATCAAACTTCATTTTTAATAACGCATTTCATTTGTTTCATCAGCATTTAATCTCAAAAAGATTTGTCAAACATGAGCAAAGTTTAATAAGGCACTTTTGAATGATACTCCATGTGCCATATAGTTTTGAGCAACTCCAAGATATTATTTTGTTTTAAAGAGCATCATAATAACTATAAATAGTATTTTTAAATTTAAAGAGCATATTTTTTTAATACACTTCAACAAACTCTTTTATTTTACTTTTTTCAAAAATCATTTATCATTTTCTCTCATTTACAATTAATATATATTTTTAGATGTCATTAACTAAAATATTGAATATAATACAAATAATTTAAGTCAATAAAATTGATTAAATGTATGGTCGATAAAAGTCGTGAGTCCAGTAAAATTTATGATTATAAAAGAGAAAAAATATGAATTTTGATCCCCATTTTTTTGAAGATTAGATTTTATATAGTGATTTTTTGGATAGTGTGTAATTAAAATATAGAAAAATAGTTTTTGATTTACCTGTAAAATTATTTAAAATAAGTTTAGGAAAATAAATAATTTTTCAAATAATGAAACTTAAACAGGAGCTTAAGAAATGGGGCGAGCTAGCGCTGGGTAATGCAATAATATCAAGTGAAAAAAATTCATGACAAAGAAATATGAGATAGAAATACTACATGAAAATATGCAACAAAAACTCTCTATGGTCACAATTAACAGAACAGACTAATTACAAAATATTGAGTAAAAAAACTTACTTTTTAAAACTAAATAATACCCTTGTTTGGACTCCATTAAATCAAAAATATTTTTTTCAAAATTTATTTCGATTAGAACCTCATTAAAATGGAGCCCAAACAAGGGCAAATTGTTTTTAATCAATAAAATCGGCTAAACATTAAACCCTTGTTTGGTAGGATTAAAATCAGATTTTCAATAAATCTTTTAATAAAAATGGATGAAATTTACGATTGAAAAGTTGTAGATGTTATAAAAAATGTTACTGAAATTACTTTAAAACTGTAGGTAGCTGGAGATCCTATTTTGTTTCAACCATGCTGCAGGAACATGTTAAAAAATAGACTGAAAAAAGACTCGACACGTGTGATTCAGGATTGAACACTTTGGGAAAAAAAAAACAAAAAACTATCACCTCCAATCATTAATTGCCACAGTAGTCTTGTTTTTTCAACCATGTCCCCGAGCTCGATCAATGGGATTTATCCATTTTGTTTTTACAATGTTGACGCAAGCATCTGAACCTTTAAACTGTAGGGTGGGCGGAGAGAGAACAACTTGATCCAATTCAATCCCGGCCCATTTCCATTTATTCAT